ATGTCTAATTTTATCATAAATTCAACAAAGTGAAGTTATATCATTTTTATAGCCAATGTTTCTGGGAGGTGTCATTCCTAAGAATAATAAATGGCTCATACTTCTAAATTTCTTTCGGGTTTTAGTTTATAGCTCTGTCAATTAGGAAAGTTCACTTCATTTCTCTGGGCCTTAACTTCTCTCATATTAAAATGAAAATGACAATTTTATTTACCCTTCATGAAAATGGGAGCTGTTAGTAGACGCTGTCTGAATTGAAGGCTTCAATGAATTTGTTACAGAATGTACTGGTAATTTTCTATGTTTGTTTTTTCCTAGTGTGGATTTTTCCTCCTTCCCATTTGAGCTGAAAATGCTATCAGAAACTGGAATAGGAGTAAATCCTTGGTTTTCATTTGCAAGATGAGTTACAGATGATAACTGGGCTTTTTATTTGTGGGGGTTCACATCATGAGTTCATTTTCTTGTTCTTTTTCTCTTTTTTGTTACCAGAGATTGAATTTGGGCCCTTGTGCTTGTGAGGCAGGTGGAGGCACCACTGAGCTAAATCCCTGGCCCCATGAATTCATTTCCGAGAAAGTTCAGTAGTGTTATGTACTTCTTACAAAATCAGTATTCATTTATCTAATGTAATTCCTAACTTTAACTTAAATGCATAAGACTGGTGGTTAAAGGAATCAAATCTCAGGACTTTTGGGCTGGGGATTTAGCTCAGTGGTGCCACTGCCTGCCCTCACAAGCAAAGGGCCCAAGTTCAATCCCTGGTACAAAATGAATAAATAAATAAAAATTCAGGACTTTTACTAAATTCATCTGTATCCAGAATGACTATGTGGAGAGATAAGGTCACGTGCCGGGCAGTGTGAAGAGTCCTTAGTGAGTAGCTCCAGGATGCAGTAGAAAGTGTGGAATTAAGTGCAAGGGAAGAAGAGCCAGGGGGACTCAGAGGAAGAAAAATCCTTGCATAGGGAGGAAACTGAAAAGCCTTCATAGGGGAGCTGGAGGAGAAGCACGTGATGAGGGGGAGAATCCAAGTCAGGTGGAGAACAGAGGAAGTCCACAAGGCAGGAAGCAAAGGCATAAACGATGAGGGCATGGAAGAGAAGGTAGCTTAGTATGAAGTTGCACAAAGCAGGGAGAGATACACTTGAGGAAGTAGAGCTCTATTAAGGAAGACTGTTCTCTAAGTAAACAGAGAAGCAACCTTATCTCACGTATCAGATAAAAACAAAAGTGCTTATCACAGTGTCTAGGTGGCACTGGCAACATGTATATGGTTTCCCCATGTATAATGGTCAAGGGTTCAACGCTGCACATTGGCACAATTAGACCGATAAAGTTCTATAGCAACAAAGACAAAGTGGGTGCTACGCAACAGCTTCCCCCAAAGGCCAGGAAATCCTTTCAGAAGTGAGACCCCTAACTCTACAGAACACTATCCCAACAGTGCTCTTTACTTCGTCAATGATCTTACACTACAGAGAGAAAATCTCCTCCTTCATTCTAAAGAGGCTGCTGTGCCACGACTTCAGAATCACACCAAATGCCTGCAGAAAAAGAGGGCCAACAATGCAATGGAGAAAACCAAACTTTCAAAAGCATCGAGTCGTCTCAAAACAAATATTTCCATTAAATGATTTCACAGGTACTGGTAATTCTGGTGCTCCAAAGAGAAAACTAAAACTTTCAATGCCTTTAGACACTCAGGTATAACATTGGAAACTCACAGAATATCTTAGCATTTTGCATTTTGTACATCAAGTGATAAATGGTAATTATAACTGGGTAGATGGACTTTTGGATATTATGTCTTAATTTGTATTTTTCTGTTTTCTAAATTTTTTATTAAAGATATTAAAGTTGTACTAAACTCAAACATTTTAGATTACTTTCCTTATTTCACATTTAATGTGTGTCAAACTCCACAGAAATACCACAGGGAACAAGAGATGGGATTCTGCCCTGCAGACCTCGGGCTGTATCTGCTCTGCTTGTTTAGAATCACCATCTTGTTTTTTATTTTCTTTTTGGCCAAAGTTAATAAAATAGCAATGTTTTCAGGGACCAGCCCTGACACTAGGCCGCTTTCACCTGATTTTCACACAGTTACATTGCTACCCAACATGGCACACTGCCGCCACGTTACCTGTCAGAGAACTTCCTCCACTACCAGCCCCCAAAGTGCTTCCCTACACCCAAGTCACACTTCGGCTCTTTATGCTCCTTACTAAGAACATTACCTTTACTTGTTAAAAAAAAATCTACATCCACTGTCTTTCTCACTACAAGCTATGTTTGAAGAGCGCCAGAACTCTTATCTTAAATTTGCGGTACAAGCAACCTAGGATGAGGTGAGGCTAAAGAAGGTGGGTCATCCTGAGCTGCCTAAATGTGGGTGGTCAGGGGTTGCCGCTCTCTGGCCTAGGGGGATGTGATGGCATATATGCACTGCTACATTTTAAAAGGCCAGAAACCTTGTTCATTCTGAAGGTCGTCTGGCTCCAATGGTCCTGGCAAAAGGCTGTAAGCCCGAGTTCCTTTGTAGGATATTTTTTCTTTCTTTTGTGACACTGGGGATTAAACCTAGAGCTTCCTGCGTGCTAGGCAAGTGCTCTACCACTGAGTTATATCTCAACCCTGGTTTTTAAAATTTTTAGAATCTTACAAAGTTGCCCAAGACTGGACTTAAGCTTGTGATCCTCCTGTTTCAGCCTTGTGAGTAGCTAGGATTACAGGTGTACACCACTACAACTGGCTTGTATGATGTCCTTTAGTTGATTTATCTCTACTATCAAACATTTCTAACTTAATACTAACCATTTGGAAAAGGAAAAGCTGGCTGAAAATGAGTCAAGAGTAAAGAAAAGTAGAAAAATGGAAAAATGTACAAAAATGCTTAAAACGCTGCAAATATTACAAAATTGGACCTTGGCTCCTGACTAGTAATAGGAACTTTAGATTCAGTAGCCATGTGGATGAGATTACATTCATAAAAAGATATAATACTATCTCCTATTAAGAATTTAGGACATATTTACTCAGTATTCTTACAACGCCTACTTGTTAAGTATCCATCCAACAACAGGTGTGGAGGTTACAGTATGATGGGGCACACATTTCAGAGGCCTCTAGGCAGAGACCTGCATGTTAATGTCCTTCCTGACAGAGATGCTACCACTTATGTCTCTCTCTCTTTTTTTTGGGGGGGGGCAGGGAGCAAATTCAGGTCCTTGCACTTGCAAGGCAGGTGGCTGAACCTCTGAGCTAAATCCCCGGCCCACGTCCCTTTATTTATTTGTAGGTATTTTAGGATACTATGATCATCTCCTCCTTAAAGTATTCCTTCTTTGCAAACCCTCTTACAACATTCTAGATCTAGATGGAGGGAAATAAAAGATTAAATAATTAAATTCATTAAATAAAATATACACTTTATTCTTCTGAGCTCCAAATGTCAGTTTTGTGTAATAAAACGTCAGAGAACGTTGAAGTGGGGCGGTACTGTCACGTAATACGGAATCCCTTCTCTGTTCCCCTCCTCACTGCCCAGGTTTTAGAATTAAAAACGAGTAGGTAAATAAATATCACTGTGGCCAAGTGCCGCTTGATTTCCTCATGAGCTCCTGATTTGTTTGGAACCAGGCCGTCCCCACTGAGTGCGGCAGTGTTACACCATAGTCCTGCTGAGCTCATTTCAGGAGTGGGGTTCTGCCTTCCCCGTTCCTGATGGAAGGGATGGCCAAACATTTACGAGGAGCAGATACAAGGGAACAGGAAAAGAACTTATGTAGCAGGATAGATTCTTCAGAGGAATTTGGTAGTTTTTGAAAATGGTACTAAGTTATAGAGAAGGAAGACAGGAAACCCACATGAAAAATTTATAAAAACTTGTTGTAGCTACTCTTTCTGTTGTCGTCTCCTCAGAATTTGGTCACAAAGCATGTAAGGTGGAAGCAGAGAACAAGCTGTTTTTTCCACAGTACCAGGAATGAAACGCTGGGCTTTCTGGGGTGAGCAACATTCCCGGGCCTTTTTACATTTCTTTATTTTGAGACAGGATGTTGCTAAGCTGCCCAAGTTGGGATCAAACTTGACATCCTCCCAGTCTTAGCCTCCCAGAGCGCTGGAAGGGGAGATACCCCCACCGTGTCCAGCAACACGAGCTTCTGAGGCTTACCGGGCAGTACCCTGAGGCAATGCCCTCTGGCTCTGTGAAAGGGAGGGACAGTGGTGAACGTGAGGGGAGGCGTTTCCTGGCCACCAACTTTTCACCTTCCTAGCACATGCTTGAGTTTTTGTTCTGTTAGCCTGCTCCAGGAGCAGCCTCTGGCTCTGTCTGGGATAGCTAGTGCTGGGCAGTCCCATGAAGCACTCTGGAGGAAGGTGTCCCTATTTTCCCCTTCTTTTTAGCAGTCTTAATGACTGGTATAGAACAATGCCCACAAACTGATGTAGCTTACATTGAAAGATCAAAAAAGAAAGGAAATACTGAACACGGTCAAGAAGTAGAGTAATGAAGAAAAAGAAAAAAAATACTTTGCTACAGTTGCCTTTCTAGAGCTGCCTCGCTTGCACCTATGGCACAAAAGTGTAGCTTTGTTGTTAGAGAACTGTTATCCTGGGGTCAAATTCCCAAATGTGCTTATAATCAAATTCTTCCTACAGCAATTATTGTCTACATGCATGATGTTAAGTATATGTTTTTCCAGTATCTAATCTTTTAAAAGTCTGACAGTAGGTACGTGGCTAGCCCTGTTACAAATTAAAATATTTCCAGGACAGAGTAAGTGTTATGAATGCCAGTTATGAATAATGAATACAAATGCAGACTCCAATTAAAAAAGAAAAAGAAACAAGTGTGTACCCATCACATGCATTTGATTAAAAGATGCAGTTCTAGTCATCGGCCAAGGAAAATAAGGTTGAGCAAGTCTGTGTTGCATACCTGTCATTTAAAGTTACTATTGACTCAGGCACTGACTAGTTTCTGTGAAACTCACCTGCAAGCAAATTGCCAGGTTCACTCTACAGCCAAACGAAGTGCTGACCGCCCGCGGATGGAGGCCCAGGTCTTTGAACAGCTTGGAAAATGACTGTGTGAGCGCAATTCGAGGCCGTTCTTCGGCCACAACCACGCAGGTCCTTACTCTCGACAAGTCCAGTCCTCGGGCCTAGAAATAAGCGACAATAGGTCAGCCCTCACAGTGCTCAGCTATGTGTAAGCTGGACACCCCTTCCCTCGAAATCCCACAGGCAAACAGCAAACTCAACACAAAACTTTATTTCTAGGGTACATGACTCATTAATCACTGCAGGATGTTGGTGTTAAAGATCCATACCAGTATTCTAAACACTGAAACATTTTAAACAGCAGCAAGAATCAAGGTCAAGAAACATCAGAGGAAAAAGGTGAAGGAAAAGCAATTTCTGGTATGGAAGCACAGGGCCTGGGAAAGGAGAAAGCTTTGTGTGCACTGTCACGAGCATGGACCGAGTGCATACTGCGCTGAAATGAGAAAACGTACGTCTTTAAGAATGCAACGCTTAAGATGTTTAGACACTGTCATAACGACAGCTCTCCATTTATGACCCATGAGACAGAGATCAGATAAACTCTCACCAAGCACATCTTAGTTTCTGTGGTGAGCACATTATTAAGCACATCTCAGTTTCTAGACCACATTCAACCAGCTGAGTAAATCAGCAAAAATCTGAGGAGGAGGAATTCAAGGATACGCGCGTGAAAGTCTTGGTGATACAAGTCTTGGGCAGAGCTGAGCAGAGTGATTAGTGACATCACTAAAGAGGAGGGTGCGTGGTGATAACGCTGTCTTACACTGGGAATCAGAGCTGAGTAAACCAAACCATTTGGTTCCTCAAACATTCCAAGATGGTCTCAACACAGAGTAACTGAAATGGACCCTAGATGGGAAGCAAACAATGCAATATTTGTTTTTTCAGGACAGGGGATTGAACCCAAGGTTTTACACACATCATCCAGTGATACACTGAGCTGTACTGTCAGCCCTTAAGGTGACTTTAACATTCGAATGTGGGAGACACACACAGAAGGAAAATTTAAATCTGGGTGATACCAGTTCCACATTTATACGTGTAAATGTCTGACAGGAAGCACAGCACAGGGTTTGCCAGGCTGAGTTTGGAGAAAGAGATACAACATTTGGTTATCAAGGGTAGGACAAGTTGCTTAATTTCCCTGAGCTCAAGTTGCTCATCTTTAAAATGGAGACAGTAATGGTTCCTATCTCAGAGAGCTGCAGTAGATTACATAAATACGCAAAATGCTTGATAATCACTCAACTGTGACACTACTCCACTTCAGTGACTTATTTGTGTACCAATGGGAACAGTCCATGAAAACGTACTTAATCATTCTACAGTGTGATATAGATGGACATATTCTGCTTTAACTTTTCTGTATATATGACTTCAAATCATTACATATTTATGTAACTCAATATCAAAGTTGCACTTTTTCTGTTCAAACCTAAGGCATTAAATGTGAATATCATTAACGTACTGCTTCAATATTTGTATGTATAGAATTCATATGCATCGCACACAAACACAAATGTAATCTGTAGAGATACAAAGGCTTACACACTGGACAATGAACAGTAGTTGAAATATAATTGAAATGGGTCATACGATTATTTCCTCCCAGTTACCTGAAATTAAAGACTATATAATTTACTATGAAAATATATTTATATGTAAATGGAGAAAGACACTATTATTCTTATGTAATGATCATATAAAAAAAAAATATATATATATATATTTTTTTTTTAACCACATACACTGTTTACCCAATTGTAAGATAAACATCCAGACCTCCAAATCAGGGTCCTTCCAGGAAAACCAAAATGAGTGGCTCCTCTCAAACCATCCTACTTAAACATGTAGTATCAGATAAACTTCACTGAAAACCTTAGCTCACAAAATAAAAAGCAAATTTACGATCTTTCAAGTAGAACTAGTGGAATTTAAAATATCAATAAAATGTTTTACATTCTTGTTTATTATTCTGCATGGCAGTGGGAAACTATTCATGGTTACAAATTTCTTTTTGTGCTTGAAAACAATCTACAAGGATCAGGCGGCGGGCCCCACCGGGGCTCTTTGGGGCACTGTCCTGAGCACATCCATCTGTCAGGGTGCACCGGGGCTGCGAGGCAGGGCGCAGTGCTGCTTACCTTCAGGGATTCTGTCTGTGAGCCCAGCCCCTTGGTACACAGCTCCATCACCGAGTAAGAGCAGAATGTGTCCCGGACTTTGTACTGGCTCACAGCCAGCAGCCACAAGGCCGGGTTGGTCTCCAGTTCGGAAGGTGGAATCAGGATGGACTGGTGCCCGGAGTAAACGCTGCAGTGGGACAAGACAGGCCATCAGGACATGTGCGTGGCAAGGCAGGGAGGGAGGGACACACTCACCTCTGAGAAACAGGTGACTTCCAATAAGCCCTTCTGTTATTTCTAAGAAAGGGATAGTAAAACAACTCTACAAAAGCAAATCATGCTTTTGAAGACATTTCACAAAGCCTACAAGGACTATAGGAATGATAAAACAGATCACTGCGATCTTTGGTACTTATTTAAAACATCTATTTATTTGCTTGTTTGTTTGAAACAGGGTCTCACTATGTAGTTGAGACTGACCCGGAACTCACTATGTAGCCCAGGCTGGTCTCAAACTCACAGTGATCTTCCTGCCTCAGCCTCCCAAGTGCTGGGACTACAGGCTTGCACCACCACGCCCAGCTTATTTAAAACATCTAAAAGCTGTGACACTGTTAGGTTTCTCTTGATGCTGCTATATTAACAAATCAGATTCTCTTGGAGTGTAATTTTTTTTTTTTTTTTTTTTGGTACAGGGGATTCAACTTGGGTCCTTGTACTTGAGAGGCAGGCAGTGACAACACCAAGCTAAATCCCTGGCCCATCAGATCCTTTTTTATAGGAGAGACACAAGTAGCACATTTTGATAGAAAATCTAGAAGTTCAGAATAGGTGTTGCAAACCACAGGTGTTGCTTAATTTTGTAAATCCGGGTTTCTTTGGGGTTTTTCAGGAGAGGCACATCGTCACCCATTTTTTTAAATACAGTCCTCAGAAGCCTTGAGCTGAGTGGTTGGGAGAGATCAAACTCTAAAATTTTATTAAATGGGAATTAAATTTAAAGAGTGGGTTATCCTGGTTTAGAAAACCAACTTTGAGAAAAACAAAATTATGACCATTAAAGGAAGTTAGTCACGAAATCTTAAATTTTGACGTGTACTTTAAAATAGTCCAAAGTAATCACCAAACAACTTAAAATACTCATTTCTGATCTTCATATTAAAGAATACTTAGAGCAAAGAAGAAAATGATAGATTGCATATTTTAATTCACCATTAATGGTGTAAATGGGTATTCAAAAAAATGAAGTACTTGCCCAAACTGTATTTTTTTAATGGCTATATTGGTTGCTTACTGTGAATTAACATTAATACATGCCATATGGTGATAAAATATCCCAGATAAATCACCTCTTCATATTTAAATGAAAGGGATCTCCGAGCTATTTAAAAGCTCATAAATCAAACTGCACATCAGGCCTCATTAAGCACTGAAGTCATTTCCTCTTTAATGTGGCCAATCTCATTTTAAACATTTCAGAACTGTTTGCAAAGAAGCCAAATGGTTAAAAAAAAAAAAAAAAAAGTAAGGAAATGAGGCTGGCCCACAAAATGTACTTTAAACAGGACCCTGTGTATGAAAACTTATTCTTCAGGGAAAAAGACAAAGGGCATTTGGGGGCAGGTTTCTATTTCTTTCTGTATTTCTCTATTCCAAAGTTTCATTTATTTTTTTAAAAGGAAATATAGCTAACACTGACCTTTGTTGTAGCCTTTTCAAAGGTTTAATCATTGGCAAACTGAGAAGCTAGACTCATCAGGGAAGAAATACTGGTCCTTAAATTATTACTCTGCTGTAAATTGGATATTTTTGTCTTCACAAATATGTAATCTTTACCATTTTAACCATTTCTAAGGTATACTCCAGTGGCCTCAAAACTATGACCATTAATACTACTCCCAAAACTTTTTCTTTACCACATACTGAAACTATACCACCTTAGGCACTAATTTCCCATTTTTCTCTCCCCCAACCCCTGGTATCCTCTACTCTGTTTCTCTGTTTGAATCTGCCTGTTCCACATACTTTATGTGAGTGGAAGTGTGCAACAATTTTTCTCTTCCGTATAGCTTATTTTACTTAGCACGTTTTAAGGTACCAGTGTCTAAGTCAATTTCAATTCTTTTGGGCATATACCTAAGGACTATGATTCCTGAGTCACACTGTAATTTTGTGTTTCACTTTTTAGAGAATTCTCAAGCCATTTTTATAGAATTTTATACCTCAATAGTTTTTTTTTTTTTTTTTTTTTTTTTTTTTTTTTATTTTGGGTTTTTTTTTGGTAGCAGGGATCAAACTTGGGGCCTTGTGCTTGTGAGGCAGGGGACGGAACCACTGATATAAATCCCCAGCTACACCCTCAACAGTGATGTACAAGCATTCCAATTTCCCCACATTCTCACAAACACTAGCTATTTTCAGTTCTTTTAAAATCAAACTATAGGGCCAGGGATTTAGCTCAGTGGTTCGGTGGCCTGCCTTGCAAGCGCAAGGACACGAGTTCAATCCCCGGTGCCAAAAAATAAATAAATAAAATAAATAAATAAATAAAATTATAATTGTTGTAATGGGTTTGAAATAGTACCTCATTGTGCTTTTGATCTGCCTTCCCTATGGAAACATACAAATTATTTTTATAACCAATATATCAAATCAGTAAAATCCCATCATAAAACTTACAATTCTATCAAATGCTCACTAAGATCTGTCCTTAGGAAATTAACGTAGGTCATTCCATAGAACAATATTAAAGTTATTCATTAGAAATCAAACAGCATCATACAAGAATATTTGAATAACAAAGTAGACTTGTACATTATTCAAAAGACTACATATTACAAGTAACTTTCTATTGAACAAAATCTCTGTACAAGTTTAACCTTGCTCTTGACATCCATAAGAGCAAGCTTTTTATCCAGACCTAAGGTTCTTTATACTCAGGGTCTAATTCAGAACAGCAGTCAAGATCGGCTTTCCAGCATGTCATGTTTTCTCACTTTTCAGACAAATCGTGTTACTCTCCAAACAGCCTTCCAAGACATACACCATGGGCCTGAACACAAGCTACACATCTTAGCTCCAGAAATACACCTAGAGGAAAACCTATGCCTCTTCTGTCCACCCCACACACAACACCTCTGCGCTGTTCCTGGACACCTGCTGTCTCAGCCAGGGCTGTCAACGCCAAGACAGACAGGACACCACTTTCCATTCGCTCCTGAGACCCTTGTACCAACAGCTTCACCAAGCATTCCTCCTAGATGCAGGTGGCCTCTCATAATGCTCATGAAGAGGACATTCCCACTGGGGCTGATGCTGCTGAAGTGCAGTGCCCCTAGACCCTAGGTGACTCTGAATTACATCCTTATTGGTTAATGTGCCAGCTCCAATTAAAAGCCTCAAGGTAGCAATGACCACGAAGAAATAAAAATAAATGGAAATTTTACTTCTGCTGAATGGATATTAAATGAACAATCTCAGGGCCAAAAATAGTGTTATATACCTGGTAACAGCCTACGATCTAACAAGCCTGCACATTATATATCATATAAATCATAATTATCCACCAGGAAACATTATGTGTCTTTCCACTCTGGGAAGCAAAGGAACACAGTGTTTCTATTAACATCAAATGTTATTCATCCCGTTCACGAATCAGGGTTAACAATACTACCTCAATTAGATGTTTTATAGGCTTTATATTACAACTGAAATTTAAGCAGCTACTCTTTCACACTAAGGACTTCCATTTTCAATGCCAGGTACCAACATGCTTAATAACATCTGAGCCCTGAATCTCAGGGAATAAAAACAGAGGTACAATCTTGTGATACTTTTCCTCTTAATGCTGACAATGTGCCATTTCAATATTGTTCCCAGGATTTTACTTTGTAAATGCTACCATGGGGAGATTCAAAATAAAGAAAATTAAATCCAAATAATACATTACTAGCTTTCTCAAGAATACACACCAAGATTAATGATTTGCTTGATCAAAACTGTCAGCACACAAAAAAGGTTCGGCCTGCACTGTGAATTCCAGGATAGAGAATTTCAGCATATTTGTGTAAAGTAAATACAGTTTAATCTCCTTCCTTATTTATAAGGAAGTAAAAAATAAGAAAATTAATCCTAATAGAAAATACAGAGGCCGGGCGTGGTGGTGCACGCCTGGAATCCCAGCACTCTGGAGGCTGAGGCAGGAGGATCGCTGAGTTTGAGACCAACCTGGACTACATAGTGAGTTCCGGGTCAGTCTCAACTACATAGCAAGACCCTGTCTCAAAAAAACAAAAAAAATTAAAAAAAAAAGAAAGAAAAAAACAGAAAAGACTTGACTCATGCATTTTTCACTCGCCTTTATCTTCACCATTCATAGTTGGCCCCATTACTAACCCTAGTCCCAGCCAATCATTATTTTGTGTCTATAAACAACCCGAATGATCTAAATATCTGTCCCTATGGTAGACCCTGGAGGGGAGACAGGCAGTCTCCAAAAATAGCATATAGGTCTCGTGGGTAGTACAAGCAAAGAAGCAGAGGTTGGCCACTTAGGTGTATTTCTGGAATGAAGGTGGTATTTGGTTGGCTTTCTTCATCTTTTCGGGGTATTTCATATAGTCATGTAGCATGTGGCATTTTCAGTCTGGTTTCTTTCGCTTAGCATGAGGCATTTCAAGGTAACTCATTTTGTAGCAGTATTACATTATGCAGAGATGACAAATGTTTATCCACTCATCTGCTGATGGGCACCTGGACCCCTGCCCTGCCATCTTCGCCTTTGACTAAGGTTCTTCTGAGCAATTCTATCAAGTCTTTATGCAGATATACGCTTCCTTAGCTTGTGAGTGGATGCCTAGGAAGGGAACTGATAGGTCACATGGTAAATTTATAAGTTATGCAAAACAGTGGTTTTCACATTTATGCTCCCACCAACAATGTGTAAGAATTATAGGATTTTCACATTTTTGGTTACTGTTGCTTTGTAGCATAAGTTTGAAATCAGCAAATGTGAGGTTCTCAACTTTGTTCTTTTCTGCAGTTTGATTGTATCTGTTGTAGTGGGTGTGAAGTATGTCTCACTGTGGTTCCACTTTGCATTTCCTTAATTAATGCTGACCATCTTTTCACATCCTTACTGGCCATTTTCTGTGTTCTTTTGGTGAAGTATACAGTGCACTGAAGTAGCTTCTCCACATTTAAATTTTAAAAGTTCATTAAAGACTTGTTAAAGTAATTCACCAGATACATGATATGCAAACAGTTTTCCAGAACGTGGCTTTTAACCGTATCTTTTGATATGTTAAAATTGTAAAATTCACCTTAGTCCAATTAAGCGGTATTCCTCTCACGTGTTACAACTTTCTTACTACCTAAAGAACTCTCTGCCTAAACCCAAGACCATGAAAGTTGAATCCTGTGTTTTCCTCTAAAGCTTTTGTAATTGTTGGTCATTAAGATTTATGATCCATAGCTTCTTGGCCTTTTGGCTAAGATCAAGTGAAGATTTATGATCCAACTAAATCATGTATATGACAAAGGTTCTATTAATCTGTTAACAGGTAGCTGTTAATTTTCTCAGTATCATTAGTTTAAAAGACTATTTTCCCTAGTGAACTGCTTTGGTACCTTTGTTAAAAAAAAATCAACTGACCATAAATGTTATAAAGTTTTATTTCTGGCCTGTCAGTTCAGTTCACTAGTATCTATCTACCTACCTACCTACCTACCTGGCTACCTGTATCAGTCTATCTGTGAGACAATATTGCAATGCCTTGGTTACTGCAATTTTGCAGCAATTTTTGAAATCAGGAAATGGTAGTGAATTCTGTAACTCTGATATTCTATTTCAAAATTGTTCTGGCTACTAAAGCTCCTTTGTATTCTTTTGAGGATCATCTTGCCAACTTCTGCAAAAAAGCCTGCTGGGATTTTGACAGGAATTACACTGGGTCTATAAACCAATTTGGGGAGAAATGCTATTTTAATGATGCTGAATCTTCTAATCCATAAATACATACTTTAGAAAACAAGTACGATCTTAGAAAATATTTTGTAATGATTATATCAATGAGTCTCATGTAAACAATCATTAATGACTAATGGTAGTGTTAGAGTGAAGACACAGTTTGTATTAATTTTTATTTTTAAGCATTCATAAAGTTAGAGAGTTCACCAACCTGATGCCCCCATCAACCCCAAATACTTAAGAGGAAATTTCCAAAAACAAGTATATTTTTCCTCAAAAACCAATTAGGCCATTAAAACAGAAAAGTTATACATTTCTTCCATCCAAGCACAAACCCTAATCAAGTTGTATCAGTTGTCCCGATAACATCTTGTATAGGAAAACGAGCCAGTTCACATGTGCAGAGCTTACATGTTGTGACAAACATATTCTGAAGCTTATAGGGACTCTGTGGTCACATGTCCCCTCGACTCGTGTGCCTGAAGACTCCTCGTCATTAGACTCAGGTGAAGCATCCTTGGTGGCAGGAGAGATGGCGCTTTCCTTGTCCAGGCCATGTGGTGGTGTGGGGCACCACTGGTGAGGTTCACTCTGATCTCAGTTCAGGTGTCTCCACTGTGAGGTTTCTCTTTCCTTCTTCATTATTTTGTGGATGGCTCTAAGTCCTTTTTCCTCATGAGGCTTTCACTTTGCTCATTATTTATATATAACTAAACAGTTGGATAATTTCCTATTTTAATCAAAATGCTGCAATCACTGCAATCTTTATTTTGATGCACAACTTGTTCCCAATTTGTCCAGAAAGAAGTCCTTCAAACTATCTCTTCTGTTCTTCTGACACAGCCCCACATATATGAAAAGCACGATTCCACAGTAAGACACCTAACTGCAATTCAGCTTCACAGGGTCTACTGCATTTTTTTGTATTTATGAAGATCTTTGCCAATACGAAGGGACCAGGTTTCCATTATTCTTGGGATACTGATTTATTTTTAATCCTTATGGATGAAGCTAATCTCCTCCATTGCAGCTGAACCCCTGCACTTCCTCCCCTGCATGGCTCCCACAGTCCATGCCAGCGCAGGCTGCTGTTGTGATACCGTCTTCCTCCTGGGCTGCTTCGATGCTGTGATCTCTCCCTGCCCTGCCCACACACGTGCATGGCCTCAAGAGTGACAATTCCTTTTCTGGGAACCTTCACTGCCTCTTCTGCCTGACCCTCCTCCCAGACCTGCTGCATGGTGTGGGAAAGGGTGGTTTTTACCATCTTTACCTTTCATATCAATGAGTACATATCTGTGAATTCCGTGGGGCAGGAGGTCTGGGGGACTGCGCAAGCAGAAGGCCATCCACTCACTGGCTGTGCCTTTTGTTAGTCCTCTGCCAAATGAGCACAGTGCTCTCAGAGATGCAGAGGGCAGGGCCTCCGCCTTTCTGCTTGGTTGGGTATGGATCTCATGGCCATTTGATGCAGCTGAGGAAATGGTGTTCTGAACTATTTCCCAAGGGAAGAAAATTACTCACGATGTTACTGCATTGGGATTTAAAGCCAAAAATATTTTGGAACGTTTATTTAATGCTATTTTCTTTTTCAAGAAGTTTGCCTTAATTAGAATGTCAGTGTCTTCCAAAAATACAATATTAGATTTTGAATCCATTTTAATATCCTAGAAGAGTATTTAAAGACATGAGAAAATGTCCACTATAGACTATTAAAACAAAATTATAAACAATTTCATACTATAGCATCTCAATGTTACAGATTAATATTTGTAAAATTATAAGCATAAAGATTTCTGGACACAATTGTGTAACATTTGTACTTGCTTTAAGATGCTCCATTAAAAAAGTAGAGAGGGCCGGGGATTTAGCTCAGTGGTCCCACCGCCTGCCTCACAAGTGCAAGGGCCCGAATTTGATCCCCGGTACCAAAAAAAAAAAGTAGAGAAACAAAATTGGCAAGATGTTCATAAGTGTGGCTGGTTCACAGGCACAGGTGTGTATTCTAGCATATTTTATACACTTGTATGTACCTGAAGTGTGAAAAGTATGCTACTAATTAGAAAATAAACTGAATGCCAAAATGCCAAAATGTTAATTGTAGATATCAGTACCACCATGTAGTAGGCAGTACACATACTGACACCAGTATTATTTTCTGTGTATTTCTAAATTTTCTATAATGAATAGGAAAAAAATGCCATAAACAAGCATTTATCCCACCACATGTTCACTCTGTAGAGGTCTGCTGCGTACTTGCTATGAAAAGCGCAGCTGCTAGAGAAGAGCAGCAGCCCCAGAGGCGAGTTCAGGCCCCAAGGAGCTCACCATGTACTTCCCAGCTGAAGGTCCTCCCTGCCCTAAGAAAGGGAGGAGACCAAACAAGGGGAGAGCTTGTGAGGTCCAACAGTTCAGCAAGAATGCCAGTGGGTATGATCACCAAGTTTAAGGGTGTAAGATCCAAGCCTCAGCCTTCTGGTGGTGAGAAAAAAAGGCCTGCAACCTTCTAGAATGCATAAGCAGCTACTGTTTCTATAGATTTCCTTTGGACTTCACGGAGCTGCTGCAGAAAGCAGAATGCCACCGTGGGTGCTGCTCTGCCCCCAAAAGCTGGTCCTCAAGGAGAGGCACAAGGACAAGAGTTTCTGCATTTGGCACAAACCAGTCCTCTTCGGGAGGTGGCCGTACTTGGGGCTGCCTGGCAGGGCCAAAGATGTAGAAGGAAGACATATGGCTTCTTTCTGTAAAGTTTATTTTAAGGATATTAAAGACTCTCACCTGCAGAGGCACCAGAGGACAAATCCAAGTCCACAGTAAGGGTCCAAACAGATGGCCACTTCTCTAGAAGGGTAAAGCTCACACTGCAGCTTAATAGATCGGCAAAAGGCACTGGTGGCTGCGTGAGACATCTGCAAGACAGTAAGGTGACAATAAATGCACAACCTGTGATACCAGGGTCCAGAGCCACCTAGGGAACAACACAATTGCACTAATGGATGACACTGAAGGCTAAATGCCCCAAAGAGGTTTTCCCAACAAGGACCAAGTGCAGTGAACAAATGTTAGGCGACAGTGGATGATGACGTTCTCAATAAATAAGCCATACTCAATACTCTCTGGTCCTCAAGGAGCTAACAGCAGCAGCGAATGAAATAACGCCGTTCTGCACTGGAGCAGCAGGTCCTAAGTACAGGAGGCCTTGAGATCCCACGACAGCCTTAAGAGCAGGTAGAGAAAGTCTCATGGTTTAGGCCTAGTCCTGCAGTGAGACCATGCCTTGTCTCTGGGACGGTTCAGGGCACCACAAGGCAGTAGCCTGCATATCTGTCAAATATGACTGGCCTGTCAGATATCTGATGAATCCCATCTTAATGTTTCGGAATGGAAGCTCCGAGAAGCCAAGTATGTACGGTGAATCACTTAAGCGAGAGCTGGAATGGGAGCTGGCCTTCCTACACCAAGCTCAACACCCTTCTCATTATATGACCTCTGCTATGACACAGCAGCAAAGCCCAATCTCACCCCCAGCCTCGAGACTTCAGTGAAGATCTTTCCTTGTGTTCCCTTCTTCCTAACCCAGTAACAATCTCCCTACAGTAAGAGTAATTATGTAGTTCACATTATCTAAAAATTATTAAATAAGAACAATTTAATTCTGTATCTGTAAAACCAATAAATGTTAACACAGGAGCTCTCTGGTGAAACTCATCTAAGAAAAGGAAAATTAAAGTGGCACACAAAACAGTACCACTTGTCATGGTTTTAAAACATGTCACAACTTAACGTGAAGTAGCACGTTACACAGAGCTGACCTACAAAGAGCACCAGCACAGAACACTGTAATGGTGAGGGAAATCCAGCCCACCACCCGGCTTCTCATTCATTCATCACTCCAGCAAAAAAGCTGAGAGAAACAGGTAGGAAATCTTTTCCTGCAAAAAGTCAGAACCTTGTAGGGAGTTCTGCCGAGGAGCAGCTTTTATTATGAATATTTCACTGAACTCATACAGGGTAATGCAGAACTGCTCAAGTACTTTTCAAGCTGCTTTTAGTCACAGAATTTGTTTAAAGGAGAACTGAGGTTGACTTTGCAAAAACAGTCCTCTAACCCCTTGCCTCCCTTGAGCAAGAGTTAGTACCTACCTACCAAAATTCCTTCCGTATGAAAGAGAGCAAACCAATACTACACTGTTGCCCTATGCAAGGCAACATATATAGCTGGAAAATTGAGGTCTTCTGCCCAGTTCAGCAAATGCTGATGTATATCAAGCACTGTGTAGATGACAGGGACATAAAACAGAACGAGGCATTGCCCCACCCACGGGAGCTGATGACATAGTGGGAAACTGAGAGATACAGGTGATAACTGAGATCTGCCAAGGTTTTGACAAATATAAACAGAGTATAAGAGAGTGGGGAGAGAAAGAAAATGTTCACGTCACCCTGGCCAGGGAAGAGTGGAGGGAGGATCACAGAGCCTGCTGGGTATTTCAATGCAACAAGAAGAATGTAAATAAGGAAAGAAAAAAGCAACTAAGGAAGCTGAATGTTCAGTCTCTAAGCTCATCCTTGTCTTGGACCCAGCATCATAAACCAAAGAGCCTAACTTGAGAAACTTTTCTAGAACCTAAGTTAGAAAAACTCAATTCCTATTAAGACATACTCGGAGTTGGATAAAGAATTAGGTTTCTAAAACTCAAAACAATAAAAACTCTAATAAGTTACTCAAAGAGAGAGAAAGAGAGAGAGAGAGAGAGAGAGAGAGAGAGAGAGAGAGAGAGAGAGAGAGAGAGAGAGAGAGAGAGAGAGAGAGAGAGAGAGAGAGAGAGAGAGAGAGAGAGAGAGAGAGAGAGAGAGAGAGCGAGCGAGCGTGCAGCTATATCAATGTGGGAATAAGGGTTGAAGACAGCTTAACCTGAACTTAAATTTTGGGATGCACTGTGTGATTTATTTGGGGCACGTTAACCTTGCAGTGCAGATTTGCTTTGGCTGATACTAAAAATATATGTCCACTCTCTGGGAACATATCAACTCAGACGGCAGGGTAGGTGTCCTGGAGAATACTTGGTAGTAAAGGAAAGCTACCCAGAGTTATAAGTAGTCTTTAAGGAAATCCACATGGTAATAATTAAAGTGAGTAATCATAATGCGATTACTAAGTTTAACAGATCACTACATGGGACATGTCTTTATTAATAATGGTAAATTAATAAGTACCTAAGGTCTACTAGGAGCCTTCAAAGTTCAGAGGCACATTTTAAAACAGGTAAAAACCACAAAACTTAAATACACAAACACGTATTTGGGGAGTATGTGAAACTTGACATTTCAGTGTCCATTTGAGAGAAAAAGTTCTCTCTCTCAACTTTTACAGTATGTAATTAAAAGATAAGATAAAACAAAATTAAATTAAAAATTTCTGAGACAAATGGCCACCTCTGCAACCCATGGCACCAGAGAGGTAGGAGGATTCCATGCGGAGCAGGCTACTTGGTGCACAGTTCCAACTCTAATCCATGGCTCTCCATATCTAAAGCACAGGGGTTTCCTGTTACCTTATTTCACTTCAGGTAGTCGCCAAATTAAATGGTCAAAAGTTTAAGAACAACTTCTGTAAGTTTGAGAGAAAGTCTTATTCATCTCTGTCAATTTTCTAGGGTGTATAACTTAGATGAGGTGGAATCATCAGGAAGTAATAAACAGATCACATTATCTTTGTTTCCTGTAGAAACATCTTTATTGAATCGAGGTTTAATATTATAGTTCCTGCTTCTACATACCATGAAAATGGTCAAAACTGTGTGTTTCTATTTTGGCCGTGACAGGAGGAGGCAGTAAGCTCAAAGCTGACTTTGTGCCATAGTAACTAATTCATCTTGGTCTGAAATACTTCTTCCAAAAAGCTTTTGAAAATTATTTTATTTAACATTGCAGTTAATTTGGCACAACCTGAAAAATAAGTGAGGTAAACAAAGCAAACTCCCCAGTCTGAGCCAGAGGCAGAGGTCCCGGGAAGAATTATGCTCAGAACACAGATTTCACAGTGCACTTCTGCACAGTACCTGGATACTATCAGAACTGTAGGGGTCTAATTCTCCTGATGTATTAGTATTTCCATTATTTCACAGAAAAGAAAGGATTGTAGAAGCTTCACTGAGTAGCAATCTCATAGCATATAATGGAGCTGAAGTTTAAAAAGCAAGAAACTACAATGAGATTTAGAACAGAGTATGAAGATTTGAGAATCAGAAAGAGAAAGAACATGCCGCAGTGTAGTATAGGCTAGTGAGACTGAGAATTAAAACAATAGGACATTTGCAGAGAGTCAGCCTCACGATCTACGGAAAGGGTTACGAGTGCTGTAGTGTGAATGAAAAGGGTACACACACCTCTCCTCACAGATGCTCCGTACACAGGAACATACACTGACATCAGTGCACAGCCTGTGAGCTGAACATCACTGGTCTACACGTTTGCAGGATCCCCCTCTCTCACCTTTACGCCAGCTAGCATTCCGGTTGTGGACACACTGAAGTCAAGGTAGGCCAGCATGTCTGGGTTGGAAGGTTTGTAGATCTGGGCAGGCCGCTTCTTTGGCAAATCATCTAAAAAGCAGAACAATGCAGTCAATCTATCCACACAAATTGAAGACCACAGGAGGAAATAGGTTTGTCCTGTCAATTCCAGTACTGACCTGTGTCCAGTATGAGGGGCCACGTCCTAACATCTACAGCTGCCGCTGCCTCCCGGGACCGCAACAGCTTACAGATCAGCTGTGTTGTCATCAGACAGGCAGAACGACTCACCTGAGGACCAGAGTGCACAGAATGAATGAGTATACACCAGAAATGAGAAACCGTATGGAGCGTTTATCAAGTGTGGCCCGTTACGCAGGTCACCACCATGGCAGCTGCCCACGCAGACTATGTTCCCCGGAGCACTGCATCCTCCTAAAGAGCCAGCTGAGTGCAGGGAAGCTGGGATCTGGTCATGGACCCACACAGGCAAAGCACTGCTGTGACTGAGGTCCTCATTCCTGCACACCCTGTGGCCAAGGGCGGTGTGGGGTTATGATCACACTCAGAAAGGAATACTGAAAGCCACTGCGCTCTCACTTTTAGCTCTGTTGACCAAACATGTCAGATGCATGCAGACGCATCGTAAATATTTTCTAATACGAGTAACTACCAAGAAAGTATTACCAGGAGCACTCACTTAAGAGACAGTATATTGGCGCACTCTGTCCCCCCCCAAATAATTTTGGTCTTTGTGACTTTTCTGGAAGGGGAAAAATGCATGCTAATCATCTTAAACGTTCCTAGGTACAGGAAATTAATACAAATTTATACTCTCAAGAGGTAACAGAAAACTTTTAAATCCAGAGGAAGGAACTCTTAGAAATGTATTTTTGTTTTCATTTGACTGGGTTTCTTGGTTAGATCTGATAGGAAAGCTCCTTTTTTTAAAACAAATTATGTTTATTGGTACATTTTAGGCATACGATACAGTTACATTCATTATTGGGATTCTGTACCTTTACATGAGGGACTGGGAAAAAAATGAGAACCAAGAAAGCTCCTTCAGAAGGGAGCTGCCTTCTGTGGGACAGCTTATCTTGAGAGGCTGCAGTTGATGCTACCTTCTAGCCTGATCCACGCCCTAGAAGTAGACGACAAACTCTGTGCAGGTAGAAGCCACTTCTGGTCTTATTATTTTGCATGTTCCCTCCGTCCCTCCCTCCGTCCCTCCGTCCCTCTCTCCCTCTTTCTCTTTCCCTCTCCTTCTATCCCCTCCCCTTCCCACTTCCACTCTCTCTCAGCAAGAAACTGCCCTAGAAGATTCCCGAGTCTGTGATCTGCAGCTCAGCACTCAGATCCCGGCACATCAAGTGGCCACGCAATCCCAAGTGTCCGTTACCTCCACGATCATCTTCACAGTAGGCAGCGTTGTGGCAATGTTCTGTGGGTGCGGAGGTCGGACGGTTATTGGCACACAGCCTGCGTACAGGCAACCATAAAATGCTGCAATGAGGTCTATTCCTACATAAGGAGGGAAACAACAGCTCTTACCGGAAGCAATCCCATTATTTAATGACAGCCACTCCTGTCGACAGAAGTTTTAGCCTGGGAAGTCACATGGCAAAGGGAGCAGCGAGCCCTGTCAGCTGCCCTCTGTTCCTGTCGTACGCTTTTGTATCTCTTTCTTTAGCCTGTTCTTTTAGGCATGAGATACTAAAGCAGACAAGTGTAATTTCTATGCAATTTCTCTAAGGAATTATTCAACTTTATGAAGGTGGATTCAGCAGTTAAGGATTTAATACTATGTGTTAAGTGAACTAGCTCAGTTAGGTAATGAAACAAATGTTTTGGTAAATATTTTATTTAAGTTTATAAAAGTAACAACACTAAGCTCATCCCTGTGATTGGGAGTAACCAGACACCAACGAGCGCAGTTCGAATACAGCTGGATATAGAGTACGTGTTCAGAAATAACTCAGCAACCCTGCTCAGGTACCAACAAGGGTAACCAGGACCTCCTTACACAGGGCAGCCCGGCCCAGGGCCCACGGAGCCTGACTCTTGCTCTTACCTGGCGGGTACACCAAAGCTACATGGTCTCCATCCTGCAGGTGGCCCCTCTCCATCAGCATCACTGCTATCTTCTCAGCACGCTTGTGAAGCTGGACACACGTCAGCGAGTTGGCTATTGTGCCCTGAGTACCACAATAACAGGTGGCTAAGTGAGATTCTTCGCTGTATTAGCTTTATTGTGACACAGCTCACATGTCATATAACTGCTTTAACATGAGGACTGGAATGGCTTTTCAGAATATTCACAGAGCTGTACAAGTTTCGTCATTATTTTACAATGCTATCATCATTTCATCCCACCACAGAAAGTCTTGGATTCATTAGAAGTCAGTCAATCCCCCTTCCTTCCTACCTGGTAAGAAGTTCAGCACCAAAAAGGATTCTAGACATATTTTGGTCAAGAAGAACTATTTTAACAAATTATCCAAACTAAAACAATAGCTGAATTTAAAAATCCTAGAAATTTTGCGGCTTAAATATAACTGCCACGGGCAATAAAATGTGCCAGTAAACTTACAGGACTCATATATTGAAAAATACAGGCTGATTTAAAATGTTCCTTAAGAAAGGCCATATGAAACCTCAAGGAAGTGGAAGAACAAAAAATCAAAACCAAAATTAGCAATAACCCAAAAAAAGAAGGAAAAGACAAGACTTTCCTGAGGATACACTTTTCAGTTATATTTGCACCATTCTCGATGCGCAGAGAAGTGCAGATAGCCTCTTTCTTTTTTCTTTTCTTTCCTTCCTTCCTTCTTTCTTTTCTTTCTCAAACTCACAGCGATCCTCCTGCCTCAGCCTCCAGAGTGCTAGGATTATAGGCATTCACCACCACGCCCGGACTATAGCCATTTTAAAAACTGCTTCATTATGTTCAAATTCTATCTTAATTAACAGGATATATGGTCTTTTCTTAAGTCGGCAGTTTTGTCCAATAGTCTATGGGCTAAAACAGTGACCATGAACAATCTTGGCTAAACACGTCAAGTAAGCAGCTCACAAGAAGAGCACAGAGGCTACGCAGGTAACAGAGAAACATCATCACTAACCACAGACTCTCAGGGTCAGAACTTAAAATGACGCCAACATGCATTAAGGTGGAGGTTCAAAGAGAACTGGCAAGCGGCAACTGTATGGAACACAGATAACATGGTATGACCAGGGTGACCAGAACCTCTCAGGTAGTGAGGTGCAGTGCCAGGAGAAACATCAGATTCCCATCCCAAACGACCCATTTCAGATGCATGCACATCGACAAGGTGGGAGTGTGAGAATATTTATAATGATGTGTGCACCAGAATCCGATATTTAGCAAAAACATTCACCGAACAACCGGTTATCAGGAAGCTATGGGAGGCCAAGGTGCTGTCTGTATGACTTCTACACAGAAGGGCAGAGCAGCACAAAGCCGCCTATGAAATGGCTCAGGGCCTCTGACCCCTCCCTCTGATGCGCTAACTGGTTTCGCTTCAATGAAGGAGACATTTAGCGTACACTTCTCTGAACTGAACCTTCTCATCACACACACTTTCCCTTGATTATTTTTCCTCAGGATGTTAAATAGAAACTTATATAAAGAGCCAGAGAGCAAATTCTGGCAAATTATTAGGTTAAAAGTAAAAAGATGTGTACAGGGCCGGGGATTTAGCTCAGCGGCTCGGTGGCCTGCCTTGCAAGAGCAAGGACCTGAGTTCAATCCCCGGTACATCCCCCAAAAAAGATGTGTACAGTGATGCACACCTATAACCCCAGCATGTTGGGAGGCTGAGCCAAGAGAATCACAAATTTAAGAGCAACCTGGGCAACTTAGAGAGACCTTGTCTCAAAATAAAAAAAATGAAAAGGGCTCAGTGAGAAAGGTCCTAGGTTCAATCTCAAGAAATGAAAAAAGAAAAAAAAAAAGATGTAAGAAACCAAGTCTAGAATTTGGCTTCCTCAAGATTATACATTCTTCTATCATTTACTCACGGAGATCACACGTTTATCGCACGGACCAACACCGCGACTACCATACATAGGAAGCTCTTCAAAAAGAACATGAAGATGTAGGGAACAGCTGATGGAGAGGCTGGAGACCACCTCGAAATCCCTGTCAGGGCCAGGAGACCCCATCCAAGTTTACCCTCTCAGTGGAATGCAGGGGCCCTTTTATAAACAAAGGCAGCATATAGGCAGCATCATTGAAAATGGTCAGCCTCATGGGCATGGGTGTCCGTGCATCTGAGAAGACAGTGCTGGCAGACCCAGCTTACCTTTCTGCTCCCACTGAGGGGGGCCCTCCTATTATGGTCAGTTCCTTCACACCCTGCTGCCCATAGTTACGGCCAGCCTCTCCTACCCTTTAGTTTCTACAACTTCTGTAACTTTTTTCTCTCTACTGTGATGGTTTGAATATGATGTGAGTGTTCCTCAGTTTAATGTGATACAATTTAACCCTAATTGTAAGGTACTAATAAAGGGAAAAAGACTACGGTGTTTAGAGGCAGGGTTCTGGGAACTGATTAGGATCGGGTGAGGTTATTTTAAGCATGGAGCCCCTATAATTAAATCTCGGTGATTTTTATAAACAAGAAGAGAGATCCTACAAACACCATCTATCTCAGAATCTCTGCACCACCTGAGGATTCCACCAGTGAGAAATCTACCACCAGAAGCGGTCCCCTCAACCACAAACCTCCAGAACTGTCATTTGACATAAACCTCTTTCCTTTCTAAAGCAGACTGTCTTGGGAATTTCATTATACCAGTGAAAAATGAATCAATACCATCTTCTATCAAAACCAGCTGCTTTGTCAAATGACAAAGCCTATAATCTGCCCACTTTCTTAGGATTTAAGAAACTTAGAAGATTCACAACCACCAAAATGAATATATCTGACATGTTTTGATTCTAGGTTCATGAAAATTTCTACCTATGGGTATTTAAAAAATGTGAAATTTAATTTGTATGCTGTCCTTTATATCTTTGCTAAGTCTCTGAAAGGATTTTCATAAAACTGTCATTTTATGGAATTAATACAAAATGAACAGCAAAGCTTCCAGTCATCTGTGATAATGGTGCATGGGAGTAGGACAGACTCTTTGTGAGGATTAGGTTCTGAAGTCAGTACACGGGATGAAATTTGAAGCTAATCAAATTTGAAATTAATCAGAATTACTCTCAAGTCCTTAAGAAGGCGCTGTGCCGGCCGGAGGCACCAGCTCACAGGAAGTCAGAGGTCAGTAGGTCTTCCTGCACAGATGGGCTATGTCACTGGCTCCTGCACAGAAGGGACATGTGGAATGGACAATGGCTTCTCTTGGAACTTCCCTCAGAGGGCAAAAGGCTTACGCTGGTGCTAGGAAGGAGAGATTCTAATGCCCTTTCTGATGAAGGACTCACAGGGTAGGTTAGCAGCTTGAACAACAATAATCTAAGTGATTATATGTATCTTTTCTTTTCCCATGCATGCAAAGCTGGGTGTGACAAGCTTGCACTCACACAGTGGGTCTACAGTGTGACACAGGCCACATCTGGATACTGCTCAACACCATTTTCCGTGTGAGAGTCTTATCAACATTTTACCTCAGGAGCAACACCACTGGTTTTCAATTACATTCATTTTCCCAAATAGAAGTTGCTGGGCTGGGGATTTAGATCAGTGGTGCCGTCACCTGCCTCCCAAGTGCAAAGTCCCAAGTTCGATCCCCAGTACCAAAAAACACAAAACACCAAATATAAGTTGTTAAATGAAATATTTTAGGTGCGATGCCCCATAAAGCAATACACATTCAGGGAGCAGCCATCTCCTCGCATGCTCTTCCACACTCATGGGAAAGTTAGGGTTTCACACTGAAATCCCCTGCTTAAAGGGGTGGTCTTCTAGATCAAGCTTTTCACCAGAGAAATCAGGGCTGTCCTCTCCTAAAGGAAGTTTAGTAAGTTTTCAGGAAAATCCACCTGCAACTCCTATTCTAAAGGAAACAAATTTTAGGCTCAATAGCTATAAATCTGACACCGTTTTAAAGTTTCACATTAATCAAAGACCTGCTAAAAATTCAACACTGAAAACCAAACAGAATCTGTATTTAAAAATTCTAAAAAGCTATAAGAAGTGGGGAAAAAAAAAAAAGAGTAAAAGATTTGGCTAATGGGCCAGGGATTTAGATCAGTGCTGCCTCCACCTGAGTTTGATCCCTGGTACAAAAACAAAAAACCAAATTGGCTAGTATTTCTAACAAATGCACCTCCCCCGCCAAAAAAAAACGCTCACTTTTTTTGTATGTAAAGAAGTTTCAAGGGCCAGAGATTTAGCTCAGTGGTTCCACCACCTGCCTCATAAGCATAAGAACCCAAGTTCAATCCCTGGTACCAAAAAAAAAAAAAAAAAAAAAAAA